AGACAAAACACAGAGGACCTAAATAGTGAAGTAAATGGGAGTTTGAATTTGAAGGAGGGTGTTAAGAGTAAGGAAATTGTGCCAAAAGGGGAAGTGATAAGGAATTTGAGAGAGCTTGAAGTGTCTGTCCAGCAGGAGGAGGAAGAGGATTCTGATGAGCTCAGAAGTGACAATGGTGATTCTGATGTGGATGAGGACTTAGGTCCATGGTTCAATGCTGAAACTAACTTCAGTAGGCCTATCCAGTTATTGAGAGGCCAGAGGTTTAGTAGTGTGTATGTGCTTAGGAAAGCATTGAGAGTCCATGCAATAGAAAATAGGTATGAATACTATTTTCTTCATAATGACAATAAGAGGTTGAGTATTTATTGTAAGAGGAGGTGTAACTGTGTGTACAACAAGAAGAGTTGTAGACTACCTAAGTGTGTGTGTGGAAAGACTGTGAAGTGTCCCTTTAAGGTGTATGCTACAAAATTGGTTAAGTCTGAAACTTGGCAGATTAAGACAGTCAAATTGAAGCATCTTTGTATTAGGACAAAGATGAATAAGAAAGTGACAGCTGAGTTTTTAGCAGAAAGGTATTTGGAAGAGTTCAGGAGCAATCCAACATGGAAGATAAAACAAATTCAGGAAAGAGCTTTGACTGATCTTGGAATTAAGGTGAGTTACTTTAAGGCTTGGTTGGCTAGGTCTAGGGCCAAGCTCATCATTTTTGGTTCAGCAGCTCAGCAATATGCCATGGTTTGGGACTATGGGAAGGCCCTTGTTGTCCATAACCCTGGTACTGTATGTGTGGTGGTGGTTGATCAGGATAATGGACCTGAACCCCCCCTTTTTTTAAGGATGTATGTATGTTTAGCTCCACTGAGAGATGGGTTTGTGGCTGGTTGCAGACCTATTATTGGTGTAGATGGCTGCCATCTAAAGGGTGCTTACCCTGGGCAGATATTGGTGGCTGTTGCAAAGGATGGGAATAACAATATCTTTCCCATAGCATGGGCTACTGTTGAATGTGAGAGTAAAGAGACTTGGGGATGGTTTTTAGAGAACTTGGTGAAGAACATAGGAGGTGATGAGGAAGGTGAAGGCTTGACATTTATGTCTGACAGACAAAAAGTATGTTCTCTTCCATTTCCCTTTCCTATTTTAGTTATATTGTTCATTCAACATTTGTGTACTAAATGCATATTGTTTATGTAATGACAGGCCTGTTAGAAGCCTTTGAGAGTGTGGTCCCTAAAGCTGAGACCAGATACTGTGTTAGACACATTTGGTCTAACTTCAAACTTCAGTTCCAAGGGTCTTTGTTCAAAGAATTATTTTGGAATGCTACTAGGGCTTGCACTCAGGTAGTACTTAATTATTCTGTCTTACATTTTGTCTTCAATTTCTGTCTTAAAATCTGAATATGCATTATGTCCTTCATTGTTAGTGTGTGTGTCCCCTTGTTTTTTAATTTAGTATATGTATGCATTTGGTCAGACTGATTTTGAAGTAGCTATGGAATCAATCAACTTTTTATCTGAAGAGGCATATGACTACCTAGCAAACATACCCCCCCAACATTGGTCCAGACATGCTTTCTCCCCTACTTGCAAATCCAACATGCTATTAAACAACTTGTGTGAAACTTTTAATTCTGTGATAAGGGATGCAAGGGATAAGCCAATTCTAACCCAAATGGAATGGCTTAGAAGATACATGATGAAAAGGACAAATGATAAGTGGCTAGCAGCCCAAGAGTGGGAAGGTTTGACTGTGCCTTTTGTAAAAAAAGTGTTTGATGGGTTGGAGAAATATGCTAGAACTTGTAAAGTCATTTCAGGTAGAGGTGACATCTATGAGGTGGAGTATAAAGATGATACATGTGTTGTGAATCTTGAAAATAGATCCTGCACATGTTACAGATGGGATCTGACTAGATTGCCCTGTGTACATGGCTTTACTGCTATGATTGACAATAGGGTTAACCCAGAGCTCTATGTGCACCCTTACTACTACAGGGAGAAATATTTGGCTGCTTATGAGACCGCTATCAAGCCAATGCCTGGGGCAAAGCACTGGGATAAAGTGCATATGAGAGAGCCCCAACCACCTGCTTTTAAAGTTCAACCAGGAAGGCCCAAAGCTAAGAAGAGAAAGTTAGAAAAGGGTGAAGGGACTTCAGTTGGAAATGGAGAAGGTGAAAAGGCAAAAAGAAGGAATCAGTGCAAGAATTGTGGGGGTTTTGGTCATTATGCTAAAAATTGTTCCTTAGAACCTGCACCAGCACCAATTATGATTGCACAATCAACACCCCTAGGAGGAAGGCCTTCATTAAACACTCCATGGATGAATGAAAAAAGAAGAAAGAGTCAAATCAGAGCTGCCAAAATGGTATCTTCCTTATTTTAGTGGTTTATATCAATATTGTAACTGTGTTGTATCTAACTTCACAGTATTGTGTATGTGCAGAGTGCTGCATTAGGTGCACTAGGTGAAAAAATGCATTTGGCAGCGGTTTAAACCCGGTCTAAGGCACTGGTTTGAACCGCTGCCTATGTGAGGGGTGCCAAAAACCAAGTTTTTGGCACCGGTTCAAAACCGGTGCCATAGGGTGGAATAGGCACCGGTTAACCGGTGCCAAAAAGGCCCACTAAATTTTTTTTCAAAGTTTTTGGCACCGGTTAACCGGTGCCAAAAAACCCCCAAAAATCAATTTTTTTTTTTGTTTTTTTTTGCTTAAAAATTAAATACACTAAATTAAATAAAAACACAAAATATAAATCAAACATCACAATCAATATAAACGATTCCGTTTAACATATAATCAATAAAATTTTACAGCATAGATCAATAAAAAAATTACTTATAAATCAAAAAAAATTACAACATATAAATAAAAAAAAAACTACAATATAAATAAAAAAAAATTACAACATCACAATCTAAAAATCCCCATATTCTTGATTCTTGATTCTTGGATTATGTATACCTGCGCAAATTAAAACATCAACAATAAATTGATTAAAATGAACAAGCTGCGAAAAAAATAAAAAAAACCCAGAACAGTTAAAAAAAGAATTAAACCCACAAAATAAATAAAATTAAATTCGATATAAAAAAAACCCAGAAAATAAATATAATTAAATTCGATTAAAAAAAACCAAAAAATAAATCTAACAACATTCAAATAAACCCAGAAAAAAAAATTAGAAATCGACAAAAAAATTAAAATCGAACAAAAACCCAGAAAACAAAAAAAATTGTAATCGAAAAAAAAATCAAAATCTGAAAAAAAAAAAAATCAAAATCGAAATTGATTAAAAATTTGATTAAAACAAACTTGAAAACAAAAATAAAATAAACCCAGAGATTGAAAAAAAAATGAAAATCGAAAAAACCTTAAAATCACGAAAATAAAACCCCAAAACCGCATGCAACTTGAAAAACAAAATCAAAATCGAAATTGAAATTGAAATCGAAAAACAAAATCAAAATCGAAAACAACACAATCAAATTTGAAATTGAAAAACAAAACCCTAAAAATCACGAAAAACAAAACCCAGAAATTGAAAAAAACAATCCAGAAATTGAAAAACAAAACCCAGAAATTGAAAAAAAACAATCCAGAAATTGAAAAACAAAACCCAGAAATTGAAAAAAAAAAATCGAAAAAAAAAACCCAGAAATTGAAAAAAAAAAACGAAAAACGAAAATAAAACATCGAAATTACTTAAAAATCGAAAAAAAAAACCTAAAAATCACGAAATCAAAACCCCAAAACCGCATGCAACTTGAAAAACAAAATCAAAATCTAAATTGAAATTGAAATCGAAAAACATCAAAGTCGAAAACAACATCAAACCGCGGTTTTTGGTCTTCGATTTGTTGTTATCTTCCATTTCTTTTTCGTCTTCAAGTGATAAAAAGGAGGAGGAGTTTCAGAAATACATAGAAATGAAGAAGCAAGATCGATGGTGAATTGGCCTGAGCAAGAAGGAAAGAGGAGGAGAGGAGGAGAGGAGAGAGAAAGAGGCGGAGGAGAGGAGAGGAGAGGAGAGAGAGAATAGGGTCATTATTTAGGGTTTGGGGTATATAAATGGGCGGGTTTTTTTTTAATAATTAAAAACCGGTTCAGTTAGGCACCGGTTTGGTTAGGCACCGGTTCAAACCGGTGCCCTTTTTATTTTTGGCACCAGTTTGAGCTGAACCGGTGCCATTTCTCTTTGTTCAAAAACTTGCTCATTTTTAGGCCGGTTTTTGGCACCGGTTTGGCCTAAACTGGTGCCATTAGGGGGGTGCCTATTTGTATTTTTCTACTAGTGGTGGTACTGCAGGACCAAACAACATAGGAAACAAGAGGTTTCCTCAAGAAGAGGCAAGGGCTCAAGCTATGGAACAAGCATCTGCTGCAGCATCCCAGCCATCCCAGACACCTGTATGTGAAGGATCAGCTAGCCAACCATTAACAAGGAGCAAGAACAAGCTGCTGAACACAGCTGCCACCTCATCCTCTCAGCCAAATCCAACAAAGAAAGCAAACAGATCAAAGTTACAAGTGTCAAGGTCCGTACATCAGCATCAGTTCATGCACAAGGATGATGAGTGGGATGCTCCCCGTTATTAAGAATAAGCTTATGTAATTTCAACTAATGACAACATTTCCTATGCTTTTGTGTATGAATTAGAACAAGTATTAAGTAGCTATGGATATTAAACCCCTCTTTTGTGACTCTGCCAAAGATATATCTTATTTTTGTTAACTGTGGCAGGTTATGTCATATTATGTTAGTATTTTGGATGACTTGATAATTTATCAGTTGCTGAAATGAGTATTTTGCATTTTGTGTATTTTTCTCATTGTTGTTACTTAATTGATGATAAGAACTTGTTATGATATTTGCACCAAATTGAGAACCATTTCATTTCAACAGTAATAACATCCATACAACTCAATTACATTACAATCAATCAAGTGAACCATGTCAACTAATTGTAATTATGTGTTACTAAACTGTCTACCTAATAAAAACACCTAACACTAAACCAAAACAACAAAGCACAGCAGCCACCACACACAGATTCAATGATGATGCATTCCTCCCTTGAACCTCTTTGCTCATCTTCTTCCTATCAGAACTAAGAGCCTTGCATTTAATCTTCAAGTTGTCAATCTCATTTAACAAACATCTTCTCTGCCCAGAAACATTATCAACTTCTCTCTTCAAGTCAGTAACTTCACCCTTTAGCAATTTCTTATCCAAGAGCAAATTATTAATCACCTCTGTTTGCCAAGGAGTACCATCTGGTTGATCAATCCACTCAAATGCTTTGCAGCCCCTTGATTCAGTCACTGGATCATAGAATTTGCAGCTTCTGAATTTACGACCTGGGTTTTCCTTAGTCCAAGCAATTAACTTTTCAAAAGGAACTCCACATTGACATTTCCTTTCTCTTGAAGGAGAAGAACTCATAGAAGACATTGTGAGCTGCAAAAACACACTACACATTCAATTACATGTACAAAGTAATTGGAATAAGCAAATCCTACACCTAATTCCTAAAATCAATCAACAATTCAAAAACCCCCAATTTCTATTTCAACATGAACCCTAATTTTATGCTACTCAAGCTTTGTTTAAATTAATTACTTATGTTAACAACTTATGAACAAATTATGGTTCAACATAGGTTCGTACATCAAATTAAATTTCGAACAAGAAAATTCGAACAACTTACCAAAATTAACCTCAATTCACACTTCTATCTTTCTATTATGTCTAGCTACATATGTTTTTAGGGTTCTTGCGCTAAATTAGTTGCAAATTGGAAGAAATTGAAAGATTTTAAGAAAAATTAGGAGATTTTGGAAAATTTGGGAAAATTGGTAGAATTGGAACAGAAAAGGAAGACGATAGAGTTATATAGGTAGTAAATCATGAATTTTTGGAGGAAAAATCAAAAACTAGCCGTTAATGTGGGACCCACTTGCTTTTTCAGTCATCAGAGTTTAACAAAGGTGGTAAAAAACAACTTTAATTTTTTTATTTGGTGGTATAATAAAACTTTTAGAAGCTTTGGTGGTAAAAAACATTTTTTCAAAAATTTTTGGTGGTAAAAGTCAAAATTTCCTAATAATAATAATAATAACAACAACAACAACAACAACAACAACAACAACAACAACAACAACAACAACAACAACAACAACAACAACAACAACAACAACAACATTAATAATAATAACATTAATAATAGTATTAATAATAATGTTGAAATCTGCTCTGCTCGGCTCTGCTCTGCTATCCTGAAATCTGCTTTGCTCTGCTGACCCCTGCTCTGATCTGCCCAGCAGCTCAAAAGAACAGGGCCTACGTGTTTTTAATTAATATATAACAAACTAAATTAAAGTAGCAACAAACCGCAAATTATTGTAAACAATTATACTAAGATTAAGTCATTAAGTTACATAATTAAATGACAAGCTAAACAAACAAATCATGCAAACTGTGAGTCAGTATGTAAGATAAAAGAGCATTAAGGGAAATAGGTACAAATAAAAAAGCCTAAGTTTAAAAATATGAACAGTAAGGGAAGAGCATTAAGTATGAAGAGTGATGTAACATAGTGCAGAGTAAAGCCTAAGTTTAAAAATAAAAATTAAAAAAAAAGGTAAACGGATCTGGGTATGGCCATATGGGTATTTTAATTAGACCCGTATCCAGATTCGCTTTATAGCTCAGGATCTGGATCCAACACCGATCCGTTGGGTCCAAAATTTTAAAATCCATATACGTGAAAAACAAATATGGATCCACTGATCCAAATCGGATACGGATCCATTGCCATCCCTAATTATACCATTAGGTTATATGTTGTCTTAGTAACATTATTATAACTCACGCACAATGGTACAATATTTGATGTACAATTTACATACTTCTTTGTACCATTTGACAAATATTTATATCACTACAACATTATTCAATGGTACTATATACCTATTTGATGGTATGTATAATTCAAAAATTAAAACGGGGTCAAACAAAAGTCAGATCACCTTCATTATATTGAGCCCAACCCATGCGAATTTACATCTCTACCCTCCTATTTACACTTATGAGCAAATTAAACATCCAATGGTGAACGATACAAGAGAAAAATGTTGTAGGATGGTTTATTGTTACATAAATTAAATAAAAAAGTATAATATGGATATATTTTGTCATTAAATTTTTATTGTAAATCATATTGGGAGTTAGGGCCTGTTTTCATACGATTATTTTCAGTTCAGTTCAACTCTAATAAGTTCAGTTCAGTTCAGCCCTAATAAGTTCAGATCTAATAAGTGCAGTACAGTTCAGCTCCTAATTTCCTTCTTTTATAAAAGATGTATTTCAGTTTAGTTCAGCTATAATAAGCTCAGTTCAGTTGAGCTCAGCTCTAATAAGTTCAATTCATTTCAGTTTAGTTCAGTCAATGAGAACATGCCCTTAATGCAAGTATGCAACTTTGTAAATAACTCGCCGGTTATCTCTAGGATTTCTCTGTTGGGGGGGGGGGGGGTTTCAGGTTCCCAACGAAGATTATTCTAGCCTCCATTGCTAGGTTTTTTTTCTTTAAGGTTTCCTTCACTCTTCTCCCTTTTATCTCATTTCTTTCATATCTTTTCGTCTCAGTCTCAATTGTAAATCTTTGTAAAGGTTTCCACTGGTATTTTTACCGGCAGTATTGAACTACTCCCTGGCCCCTAGATCTTGAATTAAAGTATGAATGCATGAGTCATTTCAAGAGTTTGTATCAATAAAATATTTATTAATTAAGCTATATATATTATTTCAAAACAGCTACAATATGTGTATTAGGTTAATTGGAAAGGAATTTCATCCATTGCCTTCCATTTCATCACATATACTATTAACATAAGTTTATTTATTTGATCAGGTAGATGAGTTTTTAAGCTTATTTCCTAGATGGTTGATAAGTTGCATTAAGTTTTTTTTTAAAAAAAACTTATTTATTTATTCCCTCCATCATTTCAATATAATTCAAATTTTTTTTTCCCATTTTATCCATTCCATAAAAAATAGTACTCCCATGCACTATTTCCTATCACATCCACTTTCTTACGGAATATTAATTAATGAATAATCTTTTAGTCCCTAAATATTGCCTGATTGCAATTTTTTAGGGTTAAACATTTAAAACTTTGACTATGAACTATTCTCGTTAAACAATTCAAAATAATATAATTGCATATGTTCTTGATGGATTCTTCTCTATGTTCTTCTGTATTCTTGAACTTTTGGAAAAAGGCTATTATTCATCTATCCGAAATTTGTGACGAAGTATGGAGGCAAGTTGGTGGGCCAACTTACGCAAGAGAATTTCGCACATGTACCTTGTAACAATAGATTATTATATTAGAAATATCAAAGTTCAATCACACAATGACACGTCCCTTGAATTCTGACCTACTTTTGAAGAAATGCAGTTGCTTTTGATAAAAGGAGAGAGATACTTGAGGATGTTAACCAATATCTTTTGGATCGCTTTGAGGAAGTCTGGAGGGTTCTTGGTGATGATACTGCAAACATGCCAAGCTTTCAAGAGCAAGAAGAGAAGATTTTATAAAACGGTTTCCCCCATAGGTGCTTTACGCTGAATTTAGACGGTGTTGCAAAAAGGTGCATGCCTCTAGGGACTATAGTGAATGGAGGTCTGATAAGGGAGTGCATTTGTAAGCTCAACTATGCTTATTCCCTCAACATGGTGTTTGTTATTCCTCATTATTCAAAGCAGAGATTCTTGGTGTTAATTATGGATTGAAAGTGGCGAGAAGGCTTGGTATTAATATGTTACAGATTTAAATTGATAATCGGGGTATAGTTAGAGTGTTTAATGATTTTGAAGCTTGTGAATGAGAGTGCATACATGACATAGCTATAGGGATTTAGGTATTCTATGCCCAAGTTCATGAATTATATTCATACGCACCTAAAACAAGATCGCATGCATAACACACAAGAATCACATAGTTATACCATTGAAGTGTGAATTCCACGTAGCAAGTTGATTGACAATTAAGGAGAGAATAAAGCCCCATGCGTTGCTCCTCTATTTAGACCACGAGATTTGAATGAGCCGCCCACCAATATTAGATTAGTCAAGTGAAGCAGAAACACCGTGATCACTACCTTTATGAACAACCAACACCACCACGAACACCACCACCGTTTCTTAAAAAAAACCCAGATTTTAATATGGAGGTATTTACAATTTAAGACACGTCTTAGGGGCCATGAAAAGTCCAATGAAGCACTTGATAACATCTTAACAACTTGTCTTGAAAACATTGAACCCAAATTATTATATTTACAAGGAATCTTTTTAGTCTTGTTGTGTGACTATGGACACATGTTAGAAAATTCAATTATGTATAATTCACACTTTTAATATTTTATAAATACAAAGTAGAAAACGTTCGTTTTGTTTTTGTCCAATTAGCATCACAACTTTATTTGTATTACTCCTTTGAGAGTGGAGTTACAAGTTTACAACAATAGCAATAATTAATCCTCATTTCTTACTAGCTTCTTTTTAAACATTCGTGATCCTTTCAAGGGATTATTCACTAAAAAATGTTAGCTACAGAGTTGCGTTCAAAAACATGTTGAGGAGTTTTCTAATTGTGGAGCAATAGATCCCCTAGTAGCTATGTTTGTGAATCTGCCTCGGCTTCATTCATTTCTTAGCAGCACTAGATTCGTTTGTGAACCTTGCGAGAGACCACTCACCATATGTTTTACTCCGTATGTAATAGCATGAACTCTTTTAGGTGCTTGCAATTTTGCAATTGGAGATGCTCATAAAAGTAATAATTAGCTTGTCTTTTTTTGACGAGACAATTAGCTTGCCATTTTTGGTCGAATCCTCGCTTTTTTTTTTTTTTAACCAAAAAACGGGTCGGTGAGAAACTGGATTCTTTACTCGTATCTCGTGAGTCGTGACCGTGGGCTGTGGCCTTTCCTTATTAACACCCCATTTCTTCTCTTTCTCTCTCCTTTGTCCCCAAACAAAACACCTCTTCAGTCTTCACCATTTTCTCTCTCTTTCTCACACACTTTGCGTCAATTCTCAGTACCCCTTTTTCCCTTTCGATTTTATTCTCCAATTATGACGATTGGTTCTGCAGGATCTAGCGTCGTCGGTAGATTCTACTTCCCTTCCTTTTTTCATATTGAAATTTCAATTTTATTTATTTTTTGGTTTTGTATTGGGTATTTCTTGTTTCATTTAGGGCTATTGTTTGTTCTTTGAGATTTCTTGTATGTTAATGTTATTTTTATGCTTGATCGATTGATTTGTCATGTGGGTTTTTTGTTATTCTGATTGATTCAAATATAAAAGGATCTAATTAATATCATTTGTTTTGCTTTCTTGGATCCAATTTAGGGTTTGTTGATTATTGGCTGATTCAATTTTGAATGATTTTATAATTGCCATTTTTTTTTTCATGTTTGGGTATTGAAATTTTGTAGAGTTGTTTTTGTTATGGATAAGAGATGACTTTATGGAATTGGAGATTGGTATTAAAGTTTTGTAATATTTGTTGACTTTACTATGTAGATTGTTGTTGTTTCTTTGAGAAGCCATGGTAATTTGAAACCAGCTTTCTGTACTGTAGCATAGAATAACAGAAGCTTAATTTGAACGCAATGTTTTGGATTTTGTCAATATGTTTGAAATGTTAGTGTTTAGGGGAGTTTATCTATCCTTTAACAGGAGATGAATCTTTCTATTAACTAGACCAGGCTACTAGGTGTTGAGTAGCAAGAGGAACTCTGCATTTCTCTAAGAAGGCCTAAAGCGGCGATAGTGAATTTTACCGGCAAGTCTGATAGTGAATCTTAATGGGAGCATGTGCCCTTTTTTAGAATTTTAGTACTTCATATATTAATCTTTTGTTAGCCTGCAATTTCCAAATGATTCGTCTTCTAGTATTCTGGTCCTTATTTAAATTGCTTGGGTTATAACTTATAAGCCATGTGCCCATGTTACATGTTTTGACTTTGAGAATGTAAGATGACATACCGTTGCTATTGCTCTTATTGGCTAATTTAAGTTGCTTTTAGACATCAATTGATGTTTCATTTAAAGCTGCAAAAGCTTTTATATCTAATTATACTCTGTTGATTTGGCTATGCAGTTCCCAGAAACTTCAGGTTGCTGGAAGAACTTGAACGTGGTGAGAAAGGGATTGGAGATGGGAGTGTCAGCTATGGGATGGATGACAGTGATGATATTTACATGCGCTCTTGGACGGGAACTATCATTGGCCCTCACAACGTGAGTTGTGTTTTCCTTGTTTTATTTTGCTGCTTTTGGACAAGAGTACATCTTTTTTACATCATTGTTTTAGATGATGCGGCCCCTCATTATTGTTAGTGATACTTTGTTGTAGGATAATTGACTAATAATACAGCTGGATTTATTCTTCTTTAGTATAGTTGATCAGAATTTTTCTGATTGGCTTTGTAGAACTTAGATCATATTTTACTTTTGTTATAGTGCTGGGGTAATATTATTAAGCTGTCAAGATCGAATATGGTGTTCATAATTTCTCTAAAGTCTAATTTAATTGAGAAATCCATATTGTTTCATGTGCGCTTGTGGAAGAAACTTATTCTCTTGTCCGTGATCTTCAATTTTCTCTCTTTCTAGTTCTACTAGTCCTAAACCCCATTCCCACCAGGTGTGAGAATCAGCTATTAAGTTTTGTTCTGCAGTCAGTTCAGTTTCAAGCTATTTACTTTTCGAACTTTATTTATTTCCCTTTTCTTGGGTTCATTTGGCCTTGGATTTTTGGATTGTATTGTTGATCATTTGACCAAAGAGGTTTTAGTTTCTGGTGAACCGTTGGATGTGCATTGCTTGTGCTTCATGGTTCATTTGTGTTTTCTTTTTTATTTTTTGTGGTTGTAGTTTATTTGAAGATTTGTGTCGGTTTTTGTATCAGAGTGTACATGAAGGCCGCATTTATCAGTTGAAGCTTTTTTGTGACAAAGATTATCCAGAGAAACCTCCAACTGTTCGCTTCCACACAAGGGTCAACATGACTTGTGTGAATCCTGAGAGTGGAATGGTAATGTTTAATTGTCTATAGTTTTCTACCTGATGATGTGAAATGTATATATCTTTTTTCCTTTTATGGCCTGTAAAGGATGTCCCTTTGAAGATTATGTATTCTCTATGATAAATAATATTTCTACATCATGAGGTCCTTTGCAGCTGAGGAAAGTGAAGCTGGTCTCTTGTAATTTTGGTTTGATTGTCTTTACCTTGGGAATTATATGATAATGTGACTCTTATCTCCATGGGTTCAAACCCCCCCCCCCCCCGACCCAACCACCACCAATGTTTCCCCCCCACCCCCCCCCCATCAATTTTAATTACCACTGAATACCATATCTGTAATAATTGAAGCATAAGCATAACAATATGAAGTTTTTGTTGTTCTTCTCCTTTTGAAAATCAGAAGTATGTACATTCAACCAAAGTATGTATTGCATATGATCTGTCATGTAGTTGGCTTATTTTCTGTTAATATGAGATGGAACCATTTCTGTTAATCCATAACATTTCGTTGATTTCTCCATTTTTTATCCCGTGCCCTGTAGTCTGGGAAGTCACTTATGTGTGATGTTGTGGGTGGCAGGTTGAACCAAAGAAGTTTGGAATGCTGGTTAATTGGCAGAGAGAGTACACTATGGAGGACATTCTGACTCAGCTGAGGAAAGAAATGGCTGCACCCCACAACCGGAAACTTGTTCAACCTCCAGAAGGGACCTATTTCTAGTTGAACCTACTTGTTTAGGACACCCCTTCTTAACAAGTTGGGCGTCCTGAAACAAAAGAACCTGAATGGCCTTATAATTCAGTACATAGTTTAATTATGTCTGCTCTTGATATGGAAATATTGAAGGAAAAAAGTCCCAATATTGCATGCTGATTGATTTCTTCAATCGGATTCCTTAGTGTGTGTTCTTGTAAAACAGCTTTTTAACTTTGAGACTTGAAAATGAAAATTCTAGTCAACTGAGCCACTAGTGTCTGTAATCTGTATGGTTAGCTGCTGAGCGAAGTGGTTAATTGCCGGCTTGCTGAAATAATTGATTTACTGTTTTTGATGCCATAGTATGCTTATGTGATTCTAGCTCTTTCCACTCTTAAAAACTGTTGACCATGTCTGTCTGTGTATGATACTACAAAGTATTTGAAAAGTTTGTGAGGAATCTGAACCTGCCTGCTTGCTTGTTGAACGTTTGATTTTTATTCAAATATTGTGAAATTTGAGCAGGATTATCTACTAGTTGATAATTGAGTATGATTAAAAGTTTCAACTTGAAATTTTCGAGTTGCCTGCGTGATGGTTCTGTGAGAACTTGAAAGATTTACAAGTAGAACATAAGGCTAAGTTGTGTTATTGTGTCATATATCACCCAGAGCTTGAAAGAAGTTGAAATGGGTAGGGAGTATATGATATATGAAGTATATAAAAGATAAATCTGGTTCATGTGCCTTGGTGTTAAGAGATAGTTGAAGCTTAAAATCCTGAAGAATGAAGAAAATTTGCGGTGTTTTTAGGGCATAGAATGCTAGTGAGGTAGATAAGCAGGCTACAGATTATACACAGTAGCAAACTATGATAGGAATGGCACTTCTATGTGTTAAGAGTCGGAAAAATGAGCGCATAAATTGCGTTACAGAGTAATTGATTATAACTATGTCATCATCAAGCTGATGCATCCCAGTTAGACATGTGAATACATAGACTTTCCAAAAACTTGGACAAAGAAACCTCAACCACCCGATCAAGCACTGGAGCATCTTCGATTATGGTCACTTGCTAATGCAGTTGGACATGTGAATACATTGACTTTCCAAATATTTGTTTTGTCGGAGTTCACAGCTAGTGTTGTACCACAGACGTTAAACACTGCACCGTGCATATAAAACTTAAGGTAATATTAGTTGATAATCAGTCCTCTATAGTAACACAACAAATCAGAAGCACCATTAACATCAGCAAGCTTCAAAAGCACATTCGCAACTTCGCTTTTCTAATTCAAAAGACAGCTGCTGATACATATATTAGATACAAATGGACAACACTTTGCCTACTTATTGCTACTTCAACACCTATAATCAGTCATTAAGTTTGTACTTAAATTTATTCTTTGGTGCATCATGGACTCATGGTTCAAGCTATGCAGTATGCACCGAGATATGGGACAACGAAACTAGATGCAATCTAAAATAGAACCAAAAGAAAAACAATAGACCAAGGCACAAGTGCAAGGAATACAATCACCATAGTAAGGCCAACTAGTATGGATTTCTTCTGTCAGAGAGTTTACATTGATTTATCGAGAAGCCTCGCAACCATTATCATTCTTCTTTAGTTACATACAAATGATACATCTACAAATCACCAACATTATAGAGAACTTCCTTGGAAGTGATTCCCAAAGAAGAATTGATGCAACACTACACTCAACTTGAAGACATCAAGGTGATATTTTCCTTGTTCTTCATCCTTTTCACTAAGCAAAATGTGTAAAATATACGTACAAGATGTACCATCTACTATCATGGTTCAAGCTTTAGTGATACAACACGCGACTGTCTGTTGCGTTTAGCCGCCTTGACAAAGACTACAGACAAGCAGGAAGGGGCCCACCATGGCCGACGAACCTTTTGCTCCCCTTTCAAGCAAGCCACTGAACAATATATAAAACGTCATGCAGTCAGCACATAAACCTGTACTTAAAAGCATTAATAATGAATTAGTTCGCCTATAATTAAGTTAATGTTGAGAAGAACCTTGTATTCTTGCAATAATTATAGAGCTTCAGCATTTCAATCACGAATTGTTCCAAAAATATGCTCTAATTCACAGCATAAATGATAAGCTAGATTCACATGCTTTTAATTCAAACTGAAGAAAGCAACTAATGTTCCACACATATGGATCGACAAAAATCTAATGATGTGGTTTGAAAAACATGCACCTGATGAAAATCGAGTAAAGTAAAAATAACATAATTTATACTTGATGACAAGTATGGCGAAAACCGTCATTACAGTTTTCTGCTAGTCAAAAGTTAAAGAAAGTTCTAAAAAGGTGAAACCTTTTTTTGACGAAAACTATGAAGATCTGAGAAGGCATTCTTTGCTTAACTAGAGTTAAAAGATATCCACTTTATAATTATGAGTTGTCCTCAATTACTCAAGCAACTAGCAAATGCTTTTCTTTTGCCTTCTTTGCCTCAAACCATGAAGCCAACACATGATTGGTTTTCAGACTTCTGATGCATAAAAGCAAGATCTTGTTACCATTTTGTGTTGCTTCTCTCTCTCTCTCTCACTCTCTCTCTCCCCACACACCCCCCCCCCCCCCGAAATAAATTGGGTGCTTTATGAAAATGGAAGATAAAAGATGTTGGAACCTTTTATTCGCCTCAATTCCTTGCAAAGTGTGATGAAGTCCCCCCATTTCATATGGCAGCGCCTAATAAACCTAAGTATCTGCTCTGTTGTGAACATGGACATTCCCTCCAAGTACTCTCCATTAACACCATTTTCCTTGAAAATTTGGCGGTAGCTACCAAGATTTATTTCTTCTAACCACATACCAACATCCTGCAAAGAAAAACATAAGCTGTATAAGAAGTACTGAGACTCTCTCCGGTAAAAAGAAAGAAACATATTGAGAGCAACTTGGTGTGCACAATTGAAATCATCATCAAAATTCAGCACATTGATGAGAGTAAGCATTAGAAACAAAAGCAGTAAAACATCAAGCAAACAGTCAAATAACAAAATATTTCAAGTTATCTTTATTCCTTGCATTTCTTAAAGTTCATCAATTGAAGCTCTGTGAAAGAGCAGTGCGTAATAAAAGAGAACACTCCAAGAAAATCAAACAAAGGAGAGGAGATCAAGCATTAAAAACGATAATGAATTAGCACAAGAAGCCATGCCCAAAAAAATCCTTGATCAAACCAATGACACTCCAATGAAGAACAAAGACAAATCAGCTTAACAAATTATAATGGAAAATCAAGCCAAACCAAAATCAAAACTTTGACCAGGTGTTTCCAGGACATATCATTTTTACAGGTTTTATGAATGTAATGAATATTATTAGAATTTTGGTTCAATGATGAGAATCATAAATGTTATCGAATACACAAATAATACTGCTTTTGTAAAAAATGGTGCAATGATTTAGTCAAAGAAACATAAGCCTTTTTCCCCAAAAAGTGATAACATTACATACAATGAGACCAAAGCCTAGCAAAGCTGAAATCAAACACGGAGTAGAACCCCATACAAAAAATAGTAAATATTACCAGGTCCTCTAGGTGAACTCATCCAGAAAAACTCAGGACAACAAAAGCCATAATGGAAGGAGATAAATCTGATAGCTCAATTTATAGTAGAATAAATGATGATCACTTTTGTATTCATGCAGTAGATTTACCAGACACTAAAAATCCTCAACAATCACCAAAAGTTAAGAAATGATTTTCTTTTATATAAAAAGTGGGACAAGTGTGTAATGGGTCGTATTCAGTTATTGTGTTTCCAGGTCTATAATCTCTTTACAGAACTGAGAAATCAGAAGTGTGTTGCTAAAAAATGGGGAAAAGGATATTATTGACCTAAAGGTCTAAGGCAAATTGAGCGTAGGAAGGAGAGGCAAGACAGTTGGTAGATAGTTAAGGGGTGTCTATGGCTCCATGCTCTGAAGTTAGTCAGTCATCGATGCTCTTGGCAAAAATTCGAGCAAGTGGAGGTCTACCAAATGATATTGGGAGGTGAAAGATCTAGACTTTAACTAAATTTGAATGGGGAAAGTCAATTCAACATATCCCTAGTACAACACCAGTTTGAAGAGCCAAAAAAACCTCTAATAATGTTCAAAGAATTAAAGCAGCAATATTGACAGCACATAGACATTATCTAACAAATAATCATCTCCAATCAGAAAGAGGCTTCCAAGTTCCAAATGTAATGTCCTTTATTCCAAAAGTTTGAGCTGAATAGACCATATGCATAAGGAAAACAGAAAATCATAAAGTCGCTTTAGAGTCAAACCCTCTTCCATTGTACCTTAAATTGAAAATGGATAAAGAAAGCATAAGCTAAAACCCTTCAAATTTTTTAACAAGTCTTCCATTCCACCTAATGGAACCATTATCATCAACGCGCCAACTAACATTCCTCATTTCTCGTCTCGAATCCTACTGAAGCTTATCAGTCGCCTCTCTTAACCAATAATACAATTCTCAATCCAGAGGTTCTATAATCTAAATTCAAACAACATTTAAACAGTTCGTAGCACACTTCCTCCTTTTTCTTCGGGAAACTTCGAATCATCCCTACTTTCGAAAGGCAAATCAGCTCAATGATCATATATAACATAATTAACACTTCATGTCACATTTTGCCAAGAGTTTAAAGTAGTACTCATGATTCATGAAGCAATGAAATTAACAACAAAGTACACATTAAAAATAAAGAATTAACATGAGAAACTTTATGAACAGTAAAAATTACACAAAAAATAATTCAAGATCCAACTCCAAATTTGGCGAAATTGAACACAGAAATCAATACCTCAACAGTCCAAATGAAGAAATCCAAAGGCTCAGGCGGCCGTTCGTTGTTCATCTCCCAAAAAAACACAAAACAAAAACCACAAACAAACCAGCAAAACCCTAATTTCACAATCACAAAAAATCAAAATTCAACATCAATTTTTTTTTTTTTAAAAAACCTAAAAATCATCGACAAAATCAAAATCAAAGAAACACAAAATCAGTACCAAAATTACCAGTTAAAGTTAGGGCAAAAAGATGATTATCCTCCACTCAACATTTGACGATGAACTTCAGTTGAGCACGAAAGAGGAGAGAGAAAAAAAGAGGAGAGAGAAAGTTAAAGGGAGTTGCAGTTTGTTTGATGAGGAGGAGAGAGAAAGAGAAAGAGTGAGGGAGTTAGGCGCGAGTGGGTTAATTCGCAAACTTCTAAAAAAAAAAGAAAAAAGAAAAGGTGGACCCCACCTTAAAAAAAAAAAAAAAAAAAAAAACTGATTTATATATAGTATCTGAGGAATATAGGATTTTTAAGTTAATAAAAAAAGAAATAAAAAGGTACGCTTTAGGTCCTACCACGTGTTGGTCTAAGCATAATCCTAATATCACGCCCCTTTATATTACACGCGCATTTC